ATAGGCGAAAATGAACAGTGATTTCACCTAGCGCCATCACAGTCCAAAGTTTATCGTGCGGTCATCATTGTCTGGTAGTATTTCATTTTTCATTTTTTTTTCTACAAATAGGAATGACCTAAAATTTGGAGCTTGTATTCATAAAAAATAGGTGAATCTTTGAAAAATATAAAAAAAATATTTTACATGAAGTAAAATGACCAAAATAACGAAACGTTTTGAGGTATTTTGGTCAATTTATTTTTTCGGATAATTTTTTTTATATTTTTTATTAGATGTGCGTCAATAAGATGTACATACTCTCCAAATTTCAGGTCATTTTGATTTATAGAAAACATATGAAAGATAAAATACTACTTTACAATCGTGACCGCACGATGAAACTTGGACGGTGATGAAGGTAGGCGAAATCACTATTCATTTTCACCTATAGTATTAGGAAGAATTTTTCATTATATATATATATATATATATTATTTATTATTTATTTATTATTATTTTTCCTTTATCTAGACGAGGCATTGACCCAACTCAGACAAAGACCAGATCCGATCTATTTACAACCTACCCAAAGTACCCATGATAATTTCTAGAAATGCCAAAAAGATTTAAATAACTTCTTTTTCTTTTCTTTTTTTTTAATGTTAAATTTTGATAGCTTCTATGGATTGGAAAATGGATAACTTCATGATTGCAAAATTTAACTTTTTTTTGGCACCCTTCTCAACTTCAATATTTACCTTTAACGGGTTCCCTTAATCTAGATTATGAGATCCAGTTAACTGAAAATATTGAACAATGGCTGTACCCATGGTTTCCAATCAACTTAGTTCTTCCATATCTAACTATTGTTCCTCATTATATACAACATATTTATAACTATAGTTTGCAAATGTCATGTTTTCCTTTATTTTCTTGTGTTCGCATGGTTTTTAAAATTATTTACATAATGATTTACTTAATTCTTAGCAATACTTTAGTAGCTAGGTATTTACATTCTGAACACAACTAAACTAATAATTATATATCTCTTTCACATCAAAAAATGAAAAACACAAATAGCTTAGTTGGCTAGTTGACATAATCGTCATATATCATCTTGGGGTTTCTATTTCTTAAAATATTGTAACATATTTTTTTTGTCAGGACTCAAAAGATTAATTTTGTAAGCATGTGTAGTTGATCTTCTTAAGTATGGTTCTTGATGGATTTCCTTGAATATTCTTTATTATTTTTTTGCACTACTCCGGACTATATAACGCATGATGAGCCAGAAATCAAACTAGATTATAAGAAAGTACGGGCTTAGCTTATTCATTTGTAAGATGGTGATTAATTGAAACGCATTTATGTTTTCATTATCAATGTTCCATTTGTCTCTTCCTAAGAAAGCAATTTTCCTTTTACTTTTGTTGCTCATTTTTTATGAATATAATTTTTGCAAAAGTCTCCAGAAAAATCAAAGATAAGTAGAATCAAACAACATATAATAGGAAAAGAGCATGGTTTTAATTTGTTAGCGCTTGATGATTTATAATGCTACGTCCTAAGCTCAATTCCTACCAAACGTAAGGGCCCTCTCCCCACTTACTCTCTCAAAAAGAAAGAAGAAGACATATCATAGGTAAGTTGTCTTATCCTGGTTCAATTGGAGTTATCAATGCATTGTCTCTTGTCAAGTAGGATATATATCTTGTTTTATGTCTCATAATTCTATTAAATCAGCAAATCATCTATTTTCAATGGAAAGGTTTCATTTTGCATTTGATGTCATGCCTTTTGCAAGCCCCTAGGAAGGGACACATTGGTCGTCATTGCCCCCTCTTTACATGAAATAGATGCCTTTCATGTACTCCATTCCTTTTATATTGATAGTATTAGAACCACCGGTTTCGTTGGTTTACTTGGGCTTATTTCTTCCTTTACCTTGAGTTATTAGTTTTTCTCTATTTCAAAACAATAGAACTTATGAGTTTGTGGTCAAAGGACTACAACTATATGTAGTCCCAAGACTTTAGTGTATGCTAGACCATTGTGAATGGTATGGTCCGGGAGGACCACACTCACTTTTCATAACTATTGCAACAGTTGCTTGCTCCATGTAGACTTCAACAAAACTGCTACCTTAGCAACCTTCAAATAAACGCACAGTAAATACACAGAAAAAATGAGAATTTTAAAAGTTTCGAATAGTTTTTTACAAGTGGCATCACTATGTTAAGCATTTACCATTTATGGCTGGAACGTAGGACAACATATGTGAAATAATTTTCACACATGTTAATATTGTTTTTCTCTACAAATACCATGCTTTCTTCCTGAAAAAGATAGAAGTCATGAAAGAAAATTGAGTGCAAATTTTTTAATTCATGAAAGAAAATTGAGTAGAATTTTTTTATTTTTTTTTAAGTAGATCAGTAGAGAATACATGCCCTACCTTTTTATAGAAATAATTAACAGTTTTTTTAATGCATATGTGGGAATGAAAACCCAGACCGGTAGCTGAAGCTCAAGTGGTGTTACTACCACGACCTCAACCTTATTCCCAAATTGAGTATATAAGGTGTGCAAAAACTCTCTCTCCAATAAGAGAATATATGAAGAAGTTCCGGACAAATTCCTTATTCATTGTCATGTCTTCTATTATGTTGCAAACCAACTAGGTTGCCAAATCTTTGGACCTATTTAACCAGTTTGCTGTTTAAAACGAAATATAAGAAAATTACATATCTTCCATATAAATATTGGAAACAGTTTTATGGTGATCTTGTTTTGGGCTTCTTGGAGAGCACCTTCCTTGTGTGCCTGATGCCGAAAGGAGTCACTTGTGTGTCGCACATGTCATCCCCATGCCACACGTGCTCAGGGACAAATCTCCGAAAGTAGAAAGGCAGGGAAGAAAAGCCAGGCTTTCCTGCAACATGAACTTGAACACGACCTGGTCTCCAATTGTCTTTGCCTATGTGTTTGAGATATAGGTAGCATACTGTAGATTCAACACAAGGGCCTTCTACTTGGAACTCATCAATGCTACATGCTTGGAATGGCCTCCTTGGCACGTCATCAAGAACTGTGGTTCCAATTTTGTCCACTCTTCTTACATGCTTCGAGTTTAGATGTCGCACCGTGACATCGTGAGAATCGACGTCTCCAAATCTTAGGCTGACGTGGTCTGAGGTTTCTGCTCCTTTGGTGCATGTGGTTTCAATCTTGACCGTGTAGCTACAGTTTTGCTGCAACAGTGAGAGGTGGGGTTGATGTTTATGTTAGATAAGTCTCATCTTTAGGAATCCAATGGCCAATGTGGCTTTACCCCAAATGAAAAACATCAAATTTATTACATCTTTTGAAGTGCTTAAACATGCAAAACAACATTTCACATTTATAGAGATGGTTAATGGCATGTAGGTTGAAGAGAACATTTGAAGAATATAATTAGACCTCACGATATAGGTAATCTATTTGATAAAAGACACATCAATCGCATTCGAAAAACTGAAGTTCTTGTAAAGTAAGGTATCTTTGCATTTTTTATAGAAGAAGCATATCGTTTTATGTAGCAAAGCATGAATAGGTAACAAATTAAACCACACTCAAATCCTCAAGACTTTTAATCTTTTTCTCTTTTTTTTTTAAAAAAGTTATCAGAAATATACGTTAATTTTTTACAAATTAGAAGAAAAAAAAACCCTCAGCTTCATAAACTTTGTCCACACTCTTTTTTCTCAATTTTGGCCTTTAAAATACTTTGAGCTATCACGGAATTTAATATACCATATAAAATGGGGAGTCATTCTGGTAC